ATGAAACACGGCCTAGCAAAGAGGCCCCGTATCCAAATGTTTAAACTGTAGGGATGTACTAAGACAAGCCTATATAAATATTTATTTATTTTAAGTGTTAAACTCAAATTCTGTCATATTATGGTCATTATCGCACAAGTGCTTTCCAACTTCAATATTTGAAAAGAGGTCAGCATTATTAATTATTACAAAATCCGGGAAAGCATCTTTTCTAGTTGGTACTTCTACAAAATCGAGATATGATAGTCCCATTTAACAGGTTCAAAAATCTATTTCCCTTAACTGTACTACTAGTCCCACTGACTTAGTCAATGTCTGGACAATTAAAAACTCTGATGAGTAACAAATCACCCATATGTACAGCCTTATTCATTTCAGATAGCAGTTGTTCTTCCGTAAATATTAATGTTTGGGGGTTTGTAACATATTCCTGCTATTAATGAATGCACCCTCTTTCCTCCTATGCAAATTTCTTCCCATAAGGCTTCCACATCCTCACCTGTATCATCAAATACCATTTCTTTAAAGGGACACATTGAAGTGGTCTGGGTGCAGTGTCCCTGTCCTTCTTAGTCCTGCAATGTAAAACTGCAATGATTACATTGTAGGACCAAGACTGCCTCTAGTGGCTGTCAATCAGACAGCCACAAGAGGCACTTCCTGAATCCTGACAGACTCTTGATCCCTGGACATCCTCACGCTCTGCACGAGGACATACAGCATCAGTAAAATCTTATAGGAAAACATTGAAGCAATGCTTTCCTATGGGGAGGGCCTCATGCACGTTAGGCTCCCCTGTCTGATAATGTAGGAGGAGGTGGATTGCCAACCCAGCACCAAGTGGGGTGGTGGGGGGGTTGTGGAATGGTGGGCAGAGGGAAATACAACCTTGTATTCCTTATACTATAGAATCCTTTTAACACTTGACTTCAATTCAGGATTGATATACAGATACAGTCTTCCCTCTTTTCTGTTTTTTTCTATCCTACCTAAATAATACCTATTTAAAATAGTAGCCCAGTCAAGAGTTTCATTCCACCAAGTCTTATTAATCCCAATTATGTAATACTGTTCCTTGTATGTGAATTTCTCAAGCTCCCATATTTTGTTGCACATGCTTCTTGCATTAGGTAAATTTTTTGCTAAAAGCTCTGACTTTGCTTACCTGGATGCTGCTTTCTGGATAATCCCCTCCCTTGTTACCTCTGCTGTTTCTGGATTGAAAACTGTCTGTGACTCATCACCATAACAATATGAAATTGTCTTACTGTAAAGAATACAATGACATTCTCTGTTGTGTTTTTTTATTTATTTTTTTCATCCAGTATCTTTAATTACTCGTACTTTTCTGCTGCTAATCTTGGAATGGAACATAGAGGAAACAGGCCTCACTGATTAATGGGGGTGGAAGGTCAAGAAATCTGGCAGACAGCATCACTATTTCATTGGGGCCCTTATCAGTTATGCATCAAAATTCCTTACCTCCCAACATTTGAAACAACCACAGAGGGACACTTTTATTTTAGGGGGTGTGACTAATGATTTCTGAGGCACGGCTATTCCAGGACATTTTAGTTGACTTTATAATCTATGATATTATGTAACTGAAATAGTATTTTTTATAAAAGCCTATTATGTCACAAAAACTATTTACCACTTACTGACTGAGGTTTTTCCAAGAACAATGAATTCACAAAAGAGGCCTCTTTGGCACTTTTGCTATGTGTTATTTCCATCCTAATACACCACATGAATATTAAATATTATTCCTTTAAAATGTGGTATGCTGAGAGTATAACTTTAATATTAGTCGACACTGCTAAACAAAAGGATGCCAAAACTGCTAAACAAAAGGATATATTTATAGAAAGTTAGACCCCCCAGTGTATTCACTAAGGAGCATTTTGACATTTTCCATGTAAACATGTTGCTACACAAATCTCCTTGCTCTTTTGAAGTTTTATTTTTTACACACATCCATGCAAAACATTGCATCTTACCTACTAATATTGTAATTATAATGTGCTCCAATGCAGAAGCAAAATATTTTGTGTTCAGCTACACCACCAAGTACAGAAATACTCCTTAACAGTGGAGCAGTATAACAGTGGAGCAGTATATTTGGGAACATATAACTCCATATGAGGTATCTGCTCTTCAAATATCTTCATTTTTGACAGATTGCTTTACTTGACCCATGTTACCTTTAGGGTAAAATAACAGATCCCATCTGAAATACCTTTTTTAAAAAAAAAAAAAAAGACAACACAGGCTATATTATCTGGGCCTTTTCAAGCATTATTACCAGATCTGGATTTAAGATTGCCCAGGTCCCTAGGCAGGATGCTGGATTGGGGCCCCCTCCTATAAACTTGAGCTCTGTCCTGTGAATGAGGCATCAGAGTGTTGTGTTGTATGTGTGTGGGGGTGACAGAGTGTTGTGTGTCTGGTTGGTTAAGTGTTGGGTGTGGAGCAGAATGAGAGGTGTGTGTGTGATGGGTAGGCCGAGTGTGCTTTGATTGATTATGTGTATGTGGTAGCTGCATTTTCTGTATGGAGGAGACATGGTGCGTAGAGTGGAGTCTGAATGTAGTTGAGTGTTGTGTGTGGTGGAGGGAGGCTGTGCTGTGTGTGGTGCCTGTATTTTGTGTGTACTGGGGTAGGAGGTGGAGTGTGTGTTGGGGATTTGTATTTTATCATTTGCCCACTTCCTGTTAATCTTTTGGCAGAAGGGGGTTTAATCCTCGGTGATCAAGTGGAGGGTATGCTGGGGACAAGGATCTCTAGTGGTCTGGCAGAGAAACACTGTAGTCTGGGTGCAGATCACTTAAAAAGCTCCCTCTCAGAACTGGTGCTCTGTCAATGATTCTGCTGCTGCACACTTAGTCTATGTGAGATCTTAAAGCTATCTGCACCCAACAGAGGTGCAAACCACTAAACTCTTTTGATGTAGTGGGGGGAGCAGGGTGATCTTTTGATGAAGTTTGTTCTTTACTTTCTTAGGATGTAGTTTGTTCTTTACTTTCTTCTTCACTCCTCACCACTTGCCCGCTTAACCCTATCCTTTTACCTCTAACACCTTCTCTGTCTTCCAATATAACTCCTGCTCTTACTCGTATTTGCAATCTGTTCAATCTTTTTTTATTTTATTTTTAATTAACAATATGCTTTTTTTATTTTACATTTGCATAAAATTTATTTGGTTTATTCAAATCACAGTTTGATCACAGAGAGTATTTTCAATACATAAAACATGCTTCCATGCTCGTATCCCTGAAATGCAACTACATTTTACATAGAATGATGACAGTTTGCTATCGTGACTTTTTAATAAGCCCGCACTGCATGCTGCTTGCAGACCAATAAAATAACATGAATAACGGTCTGTCGATACAGTGTAAAAAATATTTAAGACTCAGATTGAAATGTTGTGCTGTGAATCAATCAGTCCTATGGTAAATCCAACCACAGGCTGCACATAATCTGTTACAGAACCCTTGGCAATGACTTAATAAAATTATAACTGATGGCTTCTACCTTTTTGGAGTGTATTTTTATTTTATTTACCGTATATACTCGTGTATAAGTCGATCTCATGTATAAGTCGAGTGCAGTTTTGTGACCAACAATTGTGAAATATGCTATGCCTCGTGGATAAGTCGAGGGTAAATCTTGAGGCTATGAAATTCTGTGATTTTTATAATTATATACACACACACTCATACAAACACACACTCTGCATTATATACGCACACACACACTCATACAAACACACACTCTGCATTATATACACACACTCTGTGTATATAATGCAGAGTGTGTATATAATGCAGAGTGTGTGTTTGTGTAGTGTGTGAACTGGGTGGGGGGAGGGCATTTTTATTATTTTAATTTTTATTTATTTTAATATTATCATTTTTTTATTTTAATTTTTTTTTTGTCCCCCCTCCCTGCTTGTTAACTGGTCAGGGAGGGGGGCTATCTTAATCCCTGGTGGTCCAGTGGATGGGCTGTGAAGTGGGGGGGGGCAGCAGGAATCATTTACTTACCTTTCCTGCAGCTCCTGTCAGCTCCCTTCTCCTCCGTTCCGGTCAGCTCCACTGTAAGTCTCGCGGTCTGGTTGCCATGCGGATCGTTGCCATGGCTCTGACGGCCGCGGCTCTCTAAGTTGCCATAATACAGACAGTGACTCGAGTATAAGTCGAGTGGGGGTTTTTAAGCACAAAAAATGTGCTGAAAAACTAGACTTATACTCGAGTATATACTGTAAGTCTTCTCTGCTGAAATATGGTGAACAAAATAGCATATGTTAATGGAAAATTTATCAGTACATATTGTATCATTTGCTGTTTATCAGATAGATGTGCATGGCCTCAACGAAATTGGCATCATATGTGTAATCAAGGACTGTACTGTAAAACAAACAGTTGTGAATCTTACAGTGTTGTCAATATATTCCATGGTAGATGTTTTCCCAATTGTGCAACAACATTTCTAGTGTACTCAGTTGTTAAAGCCTGAAACTGTGAACATCTACTAAGAACCAGCAACGAGATATCCCAGTTAAAGGGGGTGGAGGCACTTATTTAAAAGACAACAATTCTACGTATATTTATACGGAATTCAATGCGAGTGAGCTTGTTAGGATTAGCCATATTTTTACTATTGTACATAAACTTGCAGCATCATGCACTGAAGCATATTAAATATCCTATGAATTTCATTTTGGCCAAAGAAAGTAAATTAAGAAAATTATGTGGCACTGTATATTTAAATGAAAGGAAAAAAAGGTTAGACCATGGAAAATCCCTACAAAACTATACTTTTTTCCCCCTGGCACATAATAATGGCATAGTAACTATGTAAATAAAAATATGGCTAAGTTATATTTCATGTTAATACAAGATAAAAATAAGGTTTTCCTCATATACAATACCGATTTTGTTTACGCTGAACTATAAAAAAAAAAAATGAAGTGGTTTGTACATTGCAGTACCATACTCAAGTATAGTAAGAAAATATGGGGTTTTGGCAATTCTAGTCTATACTGGTATGGCATTATACAATGCTGAAGACCATATAAAGATATTGTTCATAAGATACTTGGATCCAGCCATCCTGGTCTGTGTCATATCTCCGGAAGACATCAGTCAGTCTCTGTAAAACAATACAGCACTGAATGAAGTAATCAAAAGCAACTTGTCCCCTTCTTTGTCTGTCGAATTTGCGAATGAGAACATCATAGAACTGATCTGTTAGACGATAGCCAAAACCTGTTAGCGATGGCTTTAGTTTGTTTTTGTCGATCATCCCTGAATTGTCTCTGTCATAGGTTCGAAAGATAGTCTGTTATGTACTTCCAACCCCCAGAAAACTTGTTGAAGGTCACGCCACCCTTATTTTCTCGGTCAAACATGGAGATTATGGAACACAAAGTTGTTGGATTGAAGGGTGTCCAGGTACCATTTGACAAGGCTTGCTGGAGTTCTGTATCCGATATAACCCCACTTCTGTCCCTGTCCACTCTCTGGAAGATGTTTCACAGGCAGGACTGGTCGTGGCCCCCGGGGGCTTCTGGTAGTAAGCCATGTCCTATGCTCCCGGTCCGAGTGCGGCGATAACCTATACATTTCTACCGGTTGATACCCACCCTTTTTAAAACATGCAAAGGTCACTTGCATGTTCGTTCATACAAACGATCAAACTATAGCCCTATATCACTGTTTCCGCTTACATCTAAAAACCTGACCACTTAACCTCCTCACTGTCCTCCAACTCCATGCTTGAACCCCTGCATTATGGCTTCTATCCCAAACACTAGACTGAAACTGCGCTCATTAAGGTTACTAACAACTGTCTTTATGCTAAAATCACCAGCCACTTCTCTATTCTTATCTTACATGACCTCTCAGCTGCCTTCAACATAGTTGACCACCTACAGTCTTACCTTTCCTTGTCTCTGATAAAGCTCTCTCCTGGACCCACTCTTATCTCTCTAACAGATCCTTTTCATGTCATTTGCTGGCAACTCCTCCTCTGCTTTGCCCCTGTACCTCAGGGCTCTTTCTTGGGTCTTCTACTCTTCTCCATTTACTTCTTCTTTGGGTACGCTTATCAACAGCTATAGCTTCAAATATCATCTTTATCCTGATGACACTCAGATCTACCTCTCCACCCATGATATCTCTAGATTTGTTATTTCTCATGTCAGCGACTGCTTGTCTGGCATTTCTTCATGGGTGGCCTCTCGCCATCTTAGTATCAATATGTCTAAGATTGAGCTGCTCCTTGTTCACCCATCTGGCTCTACTCAGATTTTTTACGTCTCTATCACTACTGATGGCATCACTATCTCCTCATCACCCAAGGCAGCTGCCTCAGAGATACACTTGACTTCAATCTTTCCTTCATTCCCCATGCCCAATCTCTTCATCCTTCCCCAACGTCTTATCCAATATTTCCAAAATGTATCTGTTTCTGAGCATTGACTACACTGAGCAACTCAACACAATTGATATTTCTTGACTACTGCAATCACCTACTCAATGGCCATCCTCTCTCATTTCTGTCCCCCATTAAATCCATATTGAATATCTCTGCAAGGCAAATTCACCTTACCCATCATTTTGTATCTGCTGCACCTCTCAGTGAGTCCCTTCACTGGCTTCCCATTCACAGCAGAATTAAATAAAAAATTCTCACCCGACCTACAAAGCCCTTAAAAATGCATCACTACCTGTCCTCACTAATCAACAAATATCAACTCCACCCCGCCCCCTAGGATATAACAACAATCTGCTCCTTGCATCTTCTATTGTTACCTCTTCCCATGCAAAACTTCAGGACTCTTGTCATGTAGCATCAACCCTCTGGAGACCAATTCCCTGCGTTGTCAGACTTTTCCTGAGTTTGCCTTCCTTTAAGCTCTCCATAAAGAAATTCTTGTTCAGGGAATCCTTTACCACTCAACTCAGTAACTGATGTGTTCCACTTAACTAATAAATGACCTCATCTCACTCTGTATGAACATCATTCTCACCTTTACATTCACTACCTCTTGTTTCTCACCCTCCTATACATCTAGATTGTATGTTACTGTGGAAATAGGGTCCTCAATTCCTCCTGTGCTTGTTATATACACTGCCCTCCACTAATATTGGCGCCCTTCGTAAAAATGGGCAAAGAAGGCTGTGAAAAATTGTCTTTAATGTTTAATCTTTAGTTTAAACACTACACAAAAATACTCTGCTTTCATAGATATAAAACAATTGTAAACACAACTCAGTTTTATCCAAAATAAATCTTTGTTAAATATATATGTGACACAAATATTGACACCCTTTTTAGTCAATACTTTAAGCCAAGATAACAGCTCTGAGTCTTCTCTATAATCCTGATGAGGTTGGAAAATACATGGCAAGGAATCTTAGACCATCCTCCGTAGAGAATCTCTCCAGATGCTTTTTGTGGTCGATGCTTTCCTCTTTAGTTCACCCCACAGGTTTTCTATTTCTATGGGGTTTAAGTCAGGGGACTGGGATGGCCATGGCAGGACCTTGATTTTGTGTTGATTTGATTTTGAGGTACTTTTCCATATTGCTATCTCTCTTTATGCGCCAAACCCACATTGGGTGTTTATTGCCAAAAAGGTCTACTTTGGTTTCATTTAGCCATAGAACCTGATCCCATTTGAAGTTCCAGTAGTGTCTCGTAAACTTGAACCACTTGAGTTTATTTTTGGGTGAGAGTAGAGGCTACACCTTCCAAACAACTTCTGCAATTCTCTAGCTGTGATCCTTGAAGATGTTTGACCACTCAAACCATTCTCTTCACAGTGCATTGAGACCACATAGACACACATCATCTTCCACATTGATTCATTACATGTTCAGTTGATCAGACTTTCTTATTGCCCTGATGGTGGAAATTAAGCTTTAGCTATTTTCTTATGGCCACTTCCCATTTTGTGAAGCTCAACAAAAATGTTTTCCACACATCACAACTATATTCATTGGTCTTGTCCATTGTGATGAATGACAAAGGGAATTTGGTTAAACAATAAAGACAATTTTTCTTCTTTGCTCATATTTACCAAGGGTGTCAATATTAGTGGAGGGCACTGTTTTAGTTAAATTTTGTATTGTCTCAGATGTATTGGACCTTTTTATTTTTACATGTACCAATGACATCCGTATACAGCACTGTGGAATGTACTGGTACTTTATAATAAATATAAAAACATTAATTACTGACTCAGACAGAGCTGGTGCTCCAGGCTCAAACAGAAGCTGACTACTGCCTATGCCATCTTATGGGTAATCTAGCTCTACTTATCACGTGACTATTTCATTTTATGTCCTGATGTGTATGGGTTTAGGAACCGGGAGGATGGGTGGGGGGGTTCTATCCCAAAAAGTCTTTCATTCTCACCTATACAATTGTGTGTGTGTGTGTGTGTATATATATATATATATATACATATAGAGGGCCTTGCAAAAGTATTCACCCCCTTGGCATTTTTTCATGTTTTGTTGCCTCACAACCTGGAATTAACATGGATTGTTTGAGGATTTACATCATTTAATTTACAGAACATGCCCATAATTTTGAAGATGGTTTTTTTTTTTTTTTTGTATTGTGAAGCAAACTACATATAGGACAAAATAACAGAAAAAGTAAATGTGCATAACTATTCACCCCCCTAAAGTCCCCCTAAAGTCAATACTTTGTAGAGCCACCTTTTGTGGCAATCACAGCTCCAAGTCGCTTTGGATAAGTCTCTATGAGCTTGCCACATCTTACCACTGGGATTTTTTGCCCATTCCTCCTTGCAAAACTGCTCCAGCTCCTTCAAGTTGGATGGTTTGCGATTGTGAACAGCAATCTTTGACCACAGATTTTCTATTGGATTGAGGTCTGGGCTTTAACTAGGCCATTCCAACACATTTACATGTTTCCCCACTCAAGTGTTGCTTTAGCAGTGTGTTTGGGGTCATTGTCCTGCTGGAAGGTGAATCTCCGTCCTAGCCTCAAATCACGCACAGAGTGGTACAGGTTTTGCTCAAGAATATCCCTGTATTTAGCACCATCCATCTTTCCCTCAACTCTGACCAGTTTTCCAGTCCGAGCTGCTGAAAAACATTCCCACAGCATGATGCTCCCACCACCATGTTTCACTGTGGGGATGGTGTTCTTTGGGTGATATGATGTGTTGGATTTGCGCCAGACATAGTGTTTTCTTTGATGGACAAAAAGTTAAATTTTAGTCTCATCAGACCAGAGCACCTTCCTCCATACATTTTGGGAGTCTCCCATATGCCTTTTTGCAGACTCAAAACGTGCCATTTTGTTTTTTACTGAAAGTAATGGCTTTCTTCTGGCCACTCTGCCATAAAGCCCAACTCTATGGAGCGTACGGCTTACTGTCGTCCTATGTACAGATACTCCAGTCTCTGCTTTGGAACTCTGCAGCTCCTTAGGTCTCTGTGCAGCCTCTCTGATTAATGCCTTCCTAGCCCGGTCTGTGAATTGGTGGGCGTCCATTTGGTTATGATCGATTTGATGGTGTTCTTTTTTTTTTATAACCTAACCCTGACTTGTACTTCTCAACGACATTGTCCCTTACTTGTTTGGAGAGTTCCTTGGTCTTCATGGCAGTTTTTGGTTAGTGGTGCCTCTTGCTTAGGTGTTGCAGCCTCTCTCAAAAAAGGTGTGTATATGCAGGGCCAGACTGGGAACTAAAATCAGCCCTGGAAAAACATTCTATATCAGCCCAATAATGCATCGCGCCAGCATAGTGTGCTGATATAGAGGGTGAAAAAATAACTTGAAATTGAGAACTCTTACTCCAACGAAGGAACGCATATAGGGCTTCAAAATAAACAAAAGAGCAACTTTATTTTAAGTAGACGTACATTTGCATGTAATCAATGTTTCAGTACAACTACTTTGGCCTATTAAAGACATTTTAGTAATGGTACTGAAATGCTGAATGTCTGCAGTTGCACAACTAAAAAAAATGAAGTGATTTGGTTAATTTTGAAGTTCTATGGGTGCGTTCTTCACTTTGAATATGTTATTGTGCATGAGTATGCAACTAGCAACAAGACAGGGCCAATACATGCTCATTACATACATACATATATATATATAATATATATATATATATATATATATATATATAATTTATGTGTGTATTATGCATATATAAATGTATATTACTATATGTGTAAATATTATAGGCATTATTATATGTTACTAATACACACATCAATATACGTGTGTGTGTGTGTGTGTGTGTGTGTGTGTATATATATATATATATATATATATATGTATTACGGTCAGGATCACATCAATTTACGTCTATTACCTTTACCTCGTTTAGTGTATCTTGTCTCCAATTGTCTCCTTTTTTTCTCTAACAGCGACCCTTGTGCATCTTTTACTTCATCCCAGTCCCTGTGTGTTTCTTTTTACCCTTCTCCAG